CCCACCAGCTGGGAGAGAATATTTGCAAAACATACATCTGACAAGGGGTTGATCTCTATAATATATAAAGAACTCACACAACTGAACAACAAAAAAACAAACAACCCAATCAAAAAATAGGCAGATAGGCAGAGGAAATGAACAGACACTTCTCCAAAGAAGATATACAGATGGCCAATAGGCACATGAAAAGATGTTCAACATCACTAATCATCAGGGAAACGCAAATTAAAACAACACTAAGATATCACTTCATGTCCGTTAGAATGGCTATAATCACCAAGACAAAAAACAACAAATGTTGGAGAGGATATGGAGAAACAGGAACCCTCATACACAGCTGGTGGGAATGCAAACTGGTGCAGCCTCTATGGAAAACGTCATGCAGATTCCTCAAAGAATTAAAAATAGAGATGCCCTATGATCCAGCCATCCCACTACTGGGAATCTATCCAACGAACCTGAAATCAACAATCCAAAGAGGCTTATGCACCCCTATGTTCATTGCAGCATTATTCACTATAGCCAAGAACTGGAAGCAACCCAAGTGTCCCTCGACTGATGATTGGATCAAGAAAATGTGGTATATATATACAATGGAATACTACTCAGCCATAAAAAAAACAAAATCGTTCCATTTGCAACAACATGGATGGGCCTGCAGCGTATTATGTTAAGTGAAGTAAGCCAGAAAGAGAAAGACAAACACTGTATGATCTCACACATATGTGTAATATAAACCAACACACAGACAGAGAAAACTGTATTATGGTTACCAGGGGTAATGGGGGTGGGTGGTGGGCACAAGGGGTGAAGGGAGACATATATATGGTGATGGACAAACAAAAATGTACAACCCAAAATTTCACAATGTTAAAAACTATTAAAACATCAATAAAAAAATTTTTTAAAAATGTTTCTTAAATGTCTAGATCAGTCTAACTCAAATCTGTAGAAAAAAGGGGGCATTTTTATAAACTCTGAACTAGGAAGAATTAAGGAGGATGATTCTTGACAAATATTAATTACAACAAAATATACATTATTAGATGCCTTCATTCATTCACTCATTCATTCATTCAACAAAACTTAATAAAGTCTTGCTATGTATCAGGCACTATTTTAAGTAGTGAGGATAAAGCATAAAAACAAAAATGTGAGTCCTCAGCCAGCCTGTATCCTGTTTTATATAGAAGCTTAATGATCATAACAGTAGTTCATAGAATCATTATAATGACTCGATAATAGAAATAAATCTAGAAATCAATCTAATCTTGCTCATTTCACAGAGGAGAACAACAAAGCTTGGAGTAACTGACAGAGATGGACTTGTCCTTCTTCCTGAAAGAATATTCTATTTCTCACTTTGTTTCCAAAATACAGTACTGCACTGTAATTTTCCAACACTATACTAAGAATTAACGTGGTCCACACAAAAACGGGGACGCTACCAAACGCAGAGTCATCACGATAAGCTAAGTAGATACCAATATTTAAAGAAGTTTAAAGTTTAAAATGTAAAGAATTTTAATAGTTTTGTCATCATTCTACACATTTTTCTAAAATGTTTCAGCCAACCAAGATAAAGTCCTAATATATGATTCTCTACAAAAATAATTTTAACAATATTAATATGTAAGTAAAAATGAACATCATGAGCTTACATAAAATAAGCATTGTGTACAAAAGAAGGAATGACCACAGACCTACCAAGTCCCGAAGAAAATCCCACTTTCTGGCTCCCATGTCATAAAGGCCAACTCCCCCATCCAAGAAACAGCACACGGCATGACCAGGAGGAAGAGAAAAGGCTTGATTCTGCGTCAAAGTTGGGGCTGCAACTGCTTCACTCGTTGAGGACGTATAATGATTTTTGGTTGGAGACTGGACTGAAACTAAAAAAACAAATGAATAAACATGTAAACATTTATGCCAATTGCTTCCCATATGCTGGAATGAAACCACAGGGCTTAATTTATAACGTTGCCCCATTGTTTTCTTTTATCCAGCATTTACATCAGTGACCCATTAGGCAATGACCACATTTTCTGCCACAGGACTCCTCTGGCAGTATTGACAAAATACATATACACATATACACAAAATTGGATATTATTTTTTAAAAGGGGTATAGAAGTGCAGGTGGAGCAAAAGGGATGAAAATTAATGTACGACGAATCACAGTATGTTGTGAATATTTGGTTTCTTATCTCCCTATTAATTAAAGCACAGCATGATTATTTTTGAATTAGAATCTTCTTTCAAAATGCTGATATAATAGCTTACATCCCCCTCCACCCACACAAACAAACATGCATATGAATTTTTTTCTTTTAAAGCTATTAACTCTCTTCCACTAATTTCCAATCCAATGAAAATAAATATTTTGAAGATTATTTATAACTCACTTTAATTTAGCACCCAAATTAAGAATTACAACTGACATACATGTGCAGCTCAATTTTTCCTTTTCCTTACTCAGTTTTATTTTTATTGCTCATAGACTTCCATTTCCCCAACTTTGAATTACATAAATGTCCCCTTGATTAGTTATTTTCTGTATATTCTTTATCCCACATTTTGGCTTCTTTCAAGAAGCTTTCTCTTAGAATGTGACTATTCTCTTGTAAACATAACTCAAAATAATGATACCACTGTAAATTATCAGACCAGTCTATGTTAATTATACACTGGAATATAGATAAATATTGCCCAGTATATTCTCTTTTTGATTCAAATATAATCAAGTCTTCCTTATTGCATTCATTTGGACAAGACTCAATTCTCAGAATCTGAGAATGACAGGAGGTCCACACTAGAATGAACTACTAACAACAAAAGATGCTTTTGGTTCAATAAAATTTGCTGACAGTTTGGTTAAAATTAATATGATCCATGACTGGTTTTTCTAATATTTTAATTTGACATTATGGATGGTTTTGACACCCTTTATGCACCTATCTATCCATAATTCATGTTTTTTTAGAATTTGGTGAGTATATCTACATTTAAATTTTTTCATTTTCATGTAATTTTTCTTATTCCACACTTTCTGTTACATTAAAAAAGTAAGAGAAAAACCCAGATAGCTACCAATAGGGAACCTGAAAGGAATTACTCAAAAATGACAAGATTGGTATGTGCTGCTTTACATTTACTGATTTTTCTCTAATGGACATGGACTACTTTTGTAATAAGAAAAAAATATGAAAGAAGAAAATCTGTGACATTTCGGTCATCCCATGATATGGACGTTCATAGCAAGTAAACAAAGAAACAAATAACTGCAAAAACATGCAGGATGCATAAACAACATGCCAGGCCCCAGCGTATTACTTCTGCAGCTCTAATGTTTCAAGACCCGACAGTTTCCAGGATTCAGAAGTATTAGGACAGAGAAACTTAAATTTGGGAAAAGGCTGGAGATTTTCTAGTTCTTGCCATTTTCCACTATATTAGATATTAAATTTGCTAACCAAAATCACAGTATTTTGAATAGCCCTTGCTAATTATTTAGTATATTATGGACAGTGGTGAGGCAGGAGGAATCATAACTCTAGATTGCTCAGTCACTAAATTCCATAAGCCATGTTTTTTATGTTCCACACAACAATGAAAACACTGCCACCCACGAAGAGAAATCACAACTGACTTAACAGGAAGTCAATTTCTTTTCCCTCACATTGAAGAAAAATTTGAATCCTAAACCTCTCCTCAAATTCCAGATTTTTTCTTTTATAGCTTAAGTGTATTTTATTTTTTCTTAATTACAGAAGCAATGAAGTGTAATAGAAAAATAAATGAGGAAGATATGGAACATCCATAATACTAACCACTAATCCAGTGACAACTGACATTTAAACACGGAATATATGTTTACAGCCTGCACTTTGAATATTTAGGTTATTTTGACTTTGTTATAAACCATACAGATTGTAAAAGAGCCACGTTTAAAACATAAAGCCTTCTAGTTCAGACCAATTTTATTTAATCCTATCACTCTTGATATTTCTTATTTTCACCAATATCATTTTCATTATCCCCATGTAGATATAATTTCAGATTATCTTAATATCCTCATTTAACAGCATTTTAAAAATGTAACTTGGCTCTAAATATTTTCAATTTAGTAACATTAGATACCGTGTGGCTTTGATGGTTCCTTTAGCACATATATTGTCAAAGACTATTTTTTTTTTTGTGAGGAGGATCATCCCTGAGCTAACATCCATGCTAATCCTCCTCTTTTTGCTGAAGAAGACCGGCTCTGAGCTAACATCTATTGCCAATCCTCCTCCCTTTTTTTTTTCCCCAAAGCCCCAGTAGATAGTTGTATGTCATAGCTGCACATCCTTCTAGTTGCTGTATGTGTGACGCGGCCTCAGCATGGCCGGAGAAGCGGTGCGTGGGTGCGCGCCCGGGATCCGAACCAGGGCCGCCAGTAGTGGAGCGCGAGCACTTAACCACTAAGCCACGGGGCCGGCCCTCTCAAAGACTATTTTTAAAAATTAGCTTTTCAGTAGCATACTGTATTTGATATTTTTACATCATTATATCAGTCCTTTTATTTGATGGCAGCACAAATACAATCTTTTAAAAGATTAAATTTTGATGATATTTTTACTTACATTTTTTTCTAGGAGGAGAATTAAGCACATGTAAGCAGTGAAACCCTGTTTTCTTTAATTTAAAATTATCAATAGGCGTTGTTCTTGAAACATTCCAAATGCGCAAAACACCCACTTGAGAATCTATTCAGACCAGGAAAAAAGCGTTACGTTAACAAATTTTATTTAACAAATTTTATTTAAAACATAAAATGCCCAAACATAAAAGTAATAATAAAAACTTTAACTTGCAAGATTTTTAGCACCACTTACTGACATTCTTCAAACGATAATATTGTGCAGTAATACAAAGAAACAGCTGAAATGCTTTTCAACCTTTAAATTTTTGGCATGTTTTGATATTTTTTCTGTTCCAAATCCTTTCCTAGGGTGAGAGACTGCCGGCTTCGGCAGCTTCCCTCCACAAAGATCGTTATGACAATTTGATCACAAAAAAGCACCCACTGACACCCCTGCTCTAGGAAAGCCAGCCACAGAAAATGTTCCACCCCTAACACTAAATAACCTTTCTTCTTTTGAAATGTTCCTAAACTGCTCCCTTGCTCACTTGCAACCAAACAAGGACTGTCTAATATACCTGAAGACCAATTAGAAAGCCCCCGCCCTTTCTAAAATCTCACCTTCACAGAAGCTACTTGGAAAACAGTCTGGCATTTCTTCGAATGATTAACAGAGTTACCACATGACCCAGCAATTGCACTCCTACGTGTATATCCAACAGAATTATAAACACAGCTCCACACAAAAGCCTGTACCGAAATGTTCATAGAAGCTTTATTCACAATAGCAAAAAAGTGAAAATAAGTTAAATGTCTATCAACTGATAAACGGATAGACAAAATCTGGCATATCCATACAACGGAATATTATTCACCCATAAAAAGGAATGAATTACTCATACATGCTACAACATGGATGAACCTTGAAAACTTTATGCTAAGTCAAAGAAGCCAGGCATAAAAGTCCACATATTGAATGATTCCATTTCTATGAAACATCCAGAATAGACAAATCCACAGAGACAGAAAGTAGATTAGCACACATACTTACACGTGTGCACTAGTGGCTGTGGAGGGGGTAATGGAGAGTGGTACAGGGTTTATTGGGGGGATGAGGAAATGTTCTGGAATTAGACAGTGGTAATGGTTGTACAATTTTGTGAATGTAGAAACCACTGAACTGTCCACTTTAAAATGGTGAGTTCTATGGCATGTGAATTTTTCCTCAATAATAATAATAATATATAAAAAATTCCCACGTCTATCATTAACTACAACCTGTGAAACTAAAGGCAATGAAGATATATAAATAAAAATCCATCTGCTTCCATATGTAATATAAGTGCTTAAAAAAGTAAGCAATTTCTTTAAAATTGTTGAGAGGATAAAAACTCTCTTTTATTTTACACGAAGCAAACATGGGAAGTATTTATGCAGTAGCTGCAAGTCCTCTGTCTTTTCAGAGGCTTCTCTCTGAACCTAAGTAAATGGTAAAAGTAGAGTCATGTAATTTCTAATTACTATTGTAAATTTCTCCATCTCCCTATCCCCCAACACTTCCTAGCTTTGCTAATTCTGTCATGATTAGGTAACCATGAAGGAGCACCCTTTCACTTGCTCATGGTGATAAATTCCGCTTTCGTTTTCAACCTAGGCTGAAAGTCCCTGGGTCTACCTAGGCATATGTGGTCACTGGCTGTCAAAATTATCAGTGAGGCTAACAGAGTTCCCATCCAGATACATTGTTTTTCTAGTCAGTACTTCTACCGTCATCTCATCATGCCTGAAATTGAACTGTCTTTTCTACACACACAAACACAGACATGCACACATGTGTGCACATATACAATATATTCCAATTTATTACCAGGAACCCGGAAAACTGGGCCTTACTTCCATTTTTACTTGTCACTATGTTAATTATATACAGTATAAACAAAGGTAAACGAGGTATTTACTATAGTAAATGATAACATTTGAGATATTAATGTTTTACACAAAATTAACCAATAAAAGAATATAATTTCCCTGACTTAATTAAAGAATATACACATATTTAAAACTCGGGGAATAGGGTAAACTTACCTCCAGTCACAAACATCCCAGGAGCACTGGGAACCCAGGCCAAGCATTGCACAGAAGCTGCTGCACTGGGGAAATTAAACGTTGTTATGCAATGAAGTGATTCCGAATCAACGAGGCGAATTCCATAATGCAAATTAGCCACAAGCAGATAATCAGTAGACAGTGGGTCCCATTCCAAGGCTGTAACTGGATCCTCTTCATCTGTCCCTTCAAGAGATTCAGGTCTCAGAACATGTTTCTGACTTTTATTACCTATTAAAATATAAAGAAAATGATTTTAAACAAAATTGCCCAAAAACTGTCAATAAATGAGATCATCTTACTTTTTTCCTTGTATACCACGGATCTCTCAAAGTACTGAGAATACAAATCTTGTATTTTCTATTCAAAAGTCATAACTGACATGTGAATGCAGGGGAAGTAGAGTTTGTCCTAATGATGAAAGTCAGACTGAACTGCTTTGATTTGGCAATCTCTAGCACCCTGAATGTCTTTCCTATTCGCTACTGAAAAGCTGTAAGAAAAAGACACAGACAAACAATACATGTCATCTTGTCAACAACTACGATGTCGCTGAGTTACAATAGCACAGGGACAGGGAAGTGCTTATTGAAAGGAAGAACATTGTGTTGGGATTAAAAGCATAGACTTCGGTGTGGATTGCCTGGGTCCACATCCTAGCTCCATCACTTACTACTTTGTGTTCTTGGACAAGATACTTTGTCTCTGTGTGCTCAGTTTTTTATTTTTATAATGGAAAACATAGCAATACTTATCTTGCAGAGTTTTAAAGATTAAATGCGTTAGTTGCTTACAGTGCTTAGAGCAGTGGGGCACATTATAAACAGCATACCAATATTTACCGTAACTCCTTTCTCACTCATTATATCATTTGTCATAATCATCAATCACTCCTGACTCCCAGTACAAATAAGGAGAAAAAACAAGCGGAATTAAATAAAGCAAAGGATCATCAAACAATCCTCTTGTTCCTTCCAAATTATATACACAAGTAGCAATAGAGAAAAAAATGCTTCTGTTGATGTACCATATGGGACTCCCATTGGCCAGCCCTCTCAACTCAAAAGAAAGGCAGGGAAACAACTAAGTTTAGACACTGAAACCTTAACAGAAAGTACCAATTATTCCTAAGTATTATAAACGTTAGAAGAAGTGTTTATTAAAAAATAACACAACCAAAAGATACCACAGCTTTTTCTGCAATGTCATCATAACAATGTTTTTCAACATATCAGATTATAAAAACAGAAAAAATAGATGTCCTTGGATATAAGATATTTGTAAAGTGAACCGAAAACCTTAGAGTTTCTAGCTTGAGATTAAATTAATCAGAATACATTATTCTTTAAATATAATGTTGTTCTTAAATAGGTAGCATTTTATTTAGAAATTTTGCATATATAATCGTAGAAGGTGCATGTGAGGTTTCTTCTACTTGGCGTTATCAATTTTTGCAATAACCGTCAAGAAAAGTTTGCTTCTTCTTTCCCAAAATAATCTGCTAAATTGCTATTTGATACAATAAACAGTAATGAATATTAATATAGCTGATCATTACAAGGTAGAGAGAAGTAAAAAATGATTAATTAATCTAAGTTGTACTAACTATTACTTAAGTAATTTTTATGTATTTGCATGTGCCAGTTAGTATCTGTGGTTTACTAAAAATATTCCCACATATGAAAAAAAATAAAAACAACAGCAACACAAAACATGGGAAAATTTGCAATTCAAATGCTCTAATATCTAAATCATGTTGCTACAAAGCCCCATGCTTACAGTCAATATGATAATGAATTATAGTCATCATTTTCTGTTCTATCTGGTATCAACATTTTTATTATAAAAGATAGAAAACTAAAACTATAAAATGTTATAGCCAGTCATTAGAACAACAGCTGATAATATCTTTACTTATATATGTTATTTGTTTTATTATTATTACTTGTGTTCTATTTTAATATACAAATATTAGGCAAGTTGTGTTGTCAGAAACGGACAGAAGCATATGATATGAATAATCAATAAGAAGATGAGGTTGACAATTTCTGTATGAAAAACAAAGACTGGGGCAAGGGAAAATTGGGGTTGAAAGAGAAAATAATGAGGGTAACGTGTAACTTACACAGCTGTTCAAATTTTGATTTTGTGATCAGGTGGCCAAAGCAAGGAGGAAAGAAAAGTTACACAATTCACAATGTCCATAGGATAAAAATAAAACAAAATGACAAACAAAAAAAATGTGCTCAGGAGAAGCCCAGCTTTTCCTAGAACTGAGACCAGAAATAAATGCCTCCTGTGTGTTTTCAAAAGAGGAACACAGTATTACATAGGGACAATGTCACCAACAACATCTCTAAAATAAAACAGTGCGAATTTGATTAATGCACATCCCTGGGATAATACTAAAGTCCATTCAACTAAAATATTTCTATTAGGAAGATCAAAAAAAATTCTCTGATCATCTGGCTTTGTCCAAGAATGTAATGAAATAGCTAAAGTAGTAGTTTTCTGACTTTTTCGGCCCTGGAATCCTTTGTTCATATGAGAATTTTTACATAAAAATCCAACACATAATACAGAATAGAGTGGTGCTTTTCAGGCCGAGAGGCAGCAGAAGGCATAAGGCCTAGCTGGATCACCTACCAAGTCTTCCCACCTCCCTACCCCAATACAGACACATAAAAATACAAACATACTAAGCACAGTTTAAAAATCACTGATTTAAAATGATGAATGAGCTGCATTATTGTAGGCAGCCCTCCATGAAACTTTCTTTTCTCTTCCAAGAAAGATAAAGACTGGATAGCAGAGAGGTTGAGGTCACAGTCTCCTCCAAGAACCTGGAGGACAGAAATTCTATCTGTGACATAGAGACAGAACCACCTGCAGTGTGAATAAGTCATTAAGAAGGTAAGGGCAACCACTCCTCGGGAAAAGTAGAAAACGTAACAATGCTGGTATTAATGCTAACAGTCTCAAAGTTTCAAACACACAATTCAGAATGTAATAGAATTAAAAAGTAGTGTTAAATTAAAATTAAAAAGTAGTGTTCTCTTCTTGACCCATTAGCTCATACGCAAAGGGAAAATACGTAGCGTGATTATACTTTTCATGTTGTTTCGTGCATATTCATTGCTAAAAATCCTATGGAATAAACGAGGTCAAGAAGTCTATATTGGGTTGTTATGGGTTGAATTGTGTCCCCCAAAAAGATGTTGAATTCCTATCTCCAGTATCTGTGAATAAGATTTTATTTGGAAATAGGGTATTTGCAGATGATCAAGTTAAGATGAGGTCATTAAGGTGGACCATAATCCAATAGGACTATGTCCTTATAAAAAGGGGAAATTTGGACACAAGACATGCATGCACACAGGGCGAACACCATGTGAAGATTGGTGTTATGCTGCCACAAGCTAAGAAACTCCTGGAAGCTAACAGAAAGACCTGGAACAGATTCTCCCCTAGTGCCTTCAGAAGGCCTTGCCAACACCTTGATTTTATACTTCGGGTCTCTAGAATTGTGAGATAATAAATTTCTGTTGTTCTAAGCCATTCAGTTAGTGGTACTTCATTAACATAAGCCTAGCAAACTAAGACATGGATGGATCCAGAAAAATACCACATGATGACTTGTGTACAGATGCACAAATTTCTCTATTTAATGACTGGAAGACTGAGTTACTGGAAAACAAGGGCCTCTTCTGGAAGTCACACAGGTCAGACCGTTGAAATATTATTCTTTCTATCCTGACATAAACCTAGGAAAGAGAAAAGCAAATGAGGCCTTTATTCTTCCCCATTCTTTCTATGCCAAAAGAAGCATACGATGCCTCAGTGTTGTATATCTTAAATACATAATGCAATGTCTCCATGTCTTATGGCTTAAAACCTTCCAAAATGCCTAATAACAATAATATAGCAAGAAAAGAGAGCCCTAGTCAGTGAAAAAGGAGATGCCCACAATGACAAATTACAAAATAAGAAAGGTACGTAGAATAAAATCTGGACCAAAATAAGAGCACACTCCTCATTATCCTCCTCACAGATCAGGCAGCACACTGATTCCCCAAACAGAAAGTGTCACAATCCTCATGAAATCTCTGAGTGTAGGCCAGGCAGGGGGAGAAGTGAGGAGCGTCCCCAACGAGATCCAGTTATACACCCCAGATCTGGAACCACACAGCACACAGCCATCTTTACTGTTCCTAAGTAAGGTAGGACTGCCAGAGATGAAGAGCCCAGGGGGAGAAGTGGTATTCACCAGATCAAGATAGAGAAAGTCTGTGAATTACATCACTTAACTGTGAGACTTAATAACCAACTCTCAAACAGAGTCTGCTCCCTGTGCAGAGGATGGAACAGACTGGGGGAGGAGTTTGAGACAACAAATCCAAATAAGGCAAGAAACAACCACTAATCCCTCCCCATTCTAATCTAAAACAATGAAACTGTCCCCATGTTAAATTAGTACAACCAGAAAGAATGTGGAGAGGTGGTAAAGAAGTGTATGTATATTTATTTTTATCTTTCTTTAAAAGGTAAATAATAGATCCTGTTTAAAAGGTAGTTAAGGGGCCAGCCCAGTGGCGCAAGCGGTTAAGTGCGCATGCTCCACTGCGGCGGCCGGGGGTTTGCAGGTTCAGATCCCGGGCGCGCACCAAAGCACTGCTTGGTAAGCCATGCTGTGGCTGCGTCCCATATAAAGTGGAGGCAGATGGGCACAGATGTTAGCCCAGGGCCAGTCTACCTCAGCAAAAAAAGAGGAGGATTGGCAGATGTTAGCACAGGGCTGATCTCCTCACACACACACAAAAAGGTAGTTAAGACTAAATGGCCCTATGTATTGATGTTTTATATATCCTTTTTTTAATTTTAGAAAGATCATACCCTTAAGAAAGATTTATTTGAATTTTCACAATTTCTTCTATCCAATTTCAATTTCTTTTTTCTTCTATTAACTTCACATAAATTGGATGTAATATGTTTTGTGAAAGTAGTCATCCTAATCCTGAAAAAGCACCTTCAAGATTGTGCTTTTTAACATTTCTCAAATATTAGCAGTACTTATTCACGAGTGGAGAGCTATTCAGGTAATTTTTCAATTTCTTCATTATACATTTTATTATTGTTTAAATTTTAAAAATAAACATAAACTAATTTCTCAGACTCTTTCATTGATCCAGATTAATTAACTAATAGGGGTCCAAAGAGTTACTGTTCCTTTTTATCAGGTTCAAAGTCCTTGCTAAGGAGCTATGGCACTAGAGTGGTACTTTACGAGCAGGGGGGAAAATGTTTTTGAGTGGTATTAGTAAGTCATCACATACTCCAGCTGTATGTCTTTGTTGAGTCACACCATTTTCCTAGTAAATATGCAGAGGTAAAGAATTGACTTAAAAAAGTAAAAATATGGCACAAATGACTGATTTGGGTTAACTCAAACTACAATCCACACGGCTGAGTTCAATGTATTACAATGCCTTATGAATAACATTTACTTTAAATGACTATTTGGAATCAGTACAATGCTAGATAATATTTGCGTATTATATATAATAATATATATATTATATAATAATAATATTATTATTTTAAAATGAAAATTTGGTTATCTTTGGATTTATGCTGTGTGAATAAGAAATTATATATGCTAAGAAAAAAAGTGAAGAGACCTAACTAATTAAATTCTTACCTGGTTGAAAAATTGAGAGACTTCCATCGATATGACCAAATGCAACTTTCCCCCTTTTTTGGGTGTGCCATCTGAATAGACAGATGTCAGACAAGAAGCTATGAGCTTCTCTGTGTACAGTCACTCCACTCTCTGGTCCTGAGATGGTCCAAATGAACAGCGGGCCTCTGTGGGAAGCAAATGCCACAGCATCGTCTGCATTCCAGCACCAGCTAAGAGAGGCCGGCATCCCTGGGATAGATTAAATATAGATACGCAATGGAGAGATGTGGCAAAAGACTGTACCATTAAATATTATCTGCATTGTACATTTCTAACACAACTTAGAATATAGGAATACGTTTGCTATTAAAAAATATTTATTACCCTCTTGTATTATGTTAAATGAAATAAGCCAGACAGAGAAAGAGAAACACCGTATGATTTCACTCATATGTGGAAGATAAATAAACACATGGACAAAGAGAACAGATTAGTGGTCAACAGAGGGGAAGGGGGTTGGGGGGCATAAGGGGTAAAGGGGCACATACATATGGTGACTGACAAATAATAATGTACAACTGAAATTTCACAATGTTATAAACTATTATGATCTCAATAAAAATATATATGTATATATTACCCTCTTACTTGGGAATTGAATTTATAAACTAACCTCAAAGACCATAGGGAACATATGAAGGGTACTTCTATGATGAAAGAAAAGTACCTAGTTAGGTTTAAAACTACTAATATGATTAGATGATTCATATATTCTATGAATAAATGAAATTTATAGAGTTCTCTCTTTCAGAAAACTGTATATTAAAGCAATAAATTCTTATTGAGTTTTTGTGTATAAGATCTGCCTTAGGCCTTCTAGGTGCACAGGTTAGTATGGGATACAATTCCTGCTTTAAAGGATCTTAAACATAAATTGGGGAGATAAGGATTAAATGTATGGAAAGTTAAATGCTACTATAAGGACTGAATACTTATAAAATTAATGCTATAATTGATGTCTTATAAGGAGTTTAGATTCAAATCTTAGCTTTGTGTCAGATGAACTAAACAAGCTACTTTACCCCTCTAAACATCCATTTCCTCATCTATAAAACAGATATAAATAAACATAGCTGACCACCTATTTCACATGAATGTTAAGAAAAGGAAATATAATAATGTATGTAAAAGTCCTTCTTCAACTGTAACACAAAATACAAAAGCTAATTGTTAATCTCCCCACAACCAATTTGTGATCAAATAAATCGTATATAAAATAAGCGTTTTGTTAAATTTGACACAATTGATACACTAAATCAATTGCATCAGAATCATCAAACTGAATACGTATATCAGATCATATGGAATTTGGGTCCAGGAATCTATTTTTCACAAGGGTCTCCAAACAATTTTGATGTGTAGAGGGGTCTGTGAAATGCTGGGCCACTGTCCTGGAAAGAAACTGGATTTGAATTATACTTGAAGGAGCAGTTGAGTTTAAATATATTGGATGAGCAGTATTTCCTAGGAAGAGGAAATGATGTGAACAAAGACACGAGTTGAAAGTTGCTCACTCACAGTAAATTCAACGTGTGTCAACGGTCAATAATGCGCCAAGAGGCGGAAACTGGAAGCCTAATGCCTGGTTCAGGGCCTGACATATACTGGGAACTCCATAAATATTTATTGAACGAATGAATAAATGTATGAATAAGGCCAATAAAAAGCTAACGTGGTTTTAGGATACATTAACAGAAGCAGAATTTCCCCAAGAAGGGATAAGATAGTCTGTATGGATCAAACCACCATAGCACACTTGAAGAAGCCACTAGAATGCTGGCTCTCTGAATGCATACTTTTGAGAAAGGCAGGAAGGAAGAGAAGGGACCAGAGACAATGTCATAAAGTTATAACAGAAAACACTTTTATAGTGGCTTATTGTGTGAAAGCACTTCAAAGAGCTCTGCAAATACCAGCTCATCTAATTCTCCCAACAATATGCTGAGATAGGTAGATGGCAGTATTATCCACTGTTAACAGGATTTTTCCTGTTAGGTGTGACATTTTTCAAATTGGTGACAATTTTAACATGTCACATTTAAACCAACCAATACTTATTTTCCTTTTGAATTTTTTGATTATTAGGAAAAAAAAGAATGATGAGGTAAAAAATACAGAGGCAGGTTCAAGTTCAACTGCTGCATGTGGAAGTTCTAATATCGATTTAAAAAAAACTGACAATGCAAGCTTCTACTTTCTTTAAGCTAGATTCTGAAAAGAAACAACAGAGTCTAAGACATTTCAAAGGGGATTATTTACAATGAAAATGATCAAAAATATTCTTTTTTTGCAAATAAAATATCAAAGCTTTCAATCTTCAAATTAAGAAGATATTTGGGAGCAGCATGAGGCACTTATTGATAAGTTTTTGAAAATTTTCAGAAAAAGGAAAAATATGTAAAAGTGTTCAAAATTGTTACCACTATTATTTAACCATTCTACAAATGTTATTGAAAAAAATCTTATTTAATTGCATATTCAGCAGCAAAGGAAGCTAGGGCGCACACAGCTGATGAAAAAAAATCTTCCACCATGAACGGACGTGGTGTATATGGTGTTGATGAAAAATCAGCAGATAAACTAGATGATAATACAACAATATGTTGTCTAATCTGCACTTTTACATAATATTTAGAAAATACATTATTATGCAGTTAAAGTCTAGTATAGATTTTGTGTGACAGCTTTATGAGAACAATGACATTGTGTAACATTTCTAGTTTGTGTCACATAAAATATGGAAAGAATTTTAAGGAGTACTTATTGTGTTATTTAAAATCAATCTCGCACAAAGCTGTACTTAACGTACTGGGCAAATGCACTGTTGATCAATATCAACAATACTGGAAAAACTTGTAGGATTTGTGATTGGTGGAGAAACAGATATGACCAGAAAAACATGAAAAATCTTGATTGAGGCTATCAATTGATGTTTATACATCACAGCACTTTGTACCAAAAGCAATTTAGGGTTTTCTCACTGATGTGTTAAAAACCTTAAGGAAACCTGTTACTTACATCAATGGAAGCTCACTGAATAGTTGACTTTTAAAAATATTTTGCTCAGAGATTGGAGCCACCTACTCATTGTCCAATAGTGAAGTTCTTTGGTTGTTGCAAGTGAAAATAATAAGCAGAAATAATAAGCAGGGTAAAGGAACATGGGACTGGGATTCACATTTTTCTAGATGAAAAGTTAACTTTCACAAATATTTTTTAAAATGAAAGTTATGTAACAAAATTGATGTATTTTGCTGGTATTTTCAGCATTCCTAATGACCTAAATTTGAAAAGACAAGGGAAAAGCTATATCAAATATGTTGAACATATCCAAAGGTTCCAAAGGCATTATTATTATTTTAGAAGCAAGATTTAAATATAATTGCCTATGAATTCTCAATATTTTTGCTACATACCGAAAAGAATATTATAAAGAATTTTTCAACAAAATTGTTAGTGAGATTGTCACATCTCAGTTTTCAATCTCAAAGTTATAATCAGTATTTTTTAGAGAAGAAGCTGAATGTGGAAAACATATCCAGCAGTAGCTTTCAAACCATAAGCAATAATCGAGCCACACTTGGTGCTCCAAAAGAGATTGAATTATCGTGACATTTAACACCAAAAAATGATTTCTTAACTTCAGCATAATTTTGGAGTAAGATGCTAAGGAGAAAGAGTATAATGATTTTATTCAATTCACCAAGACCTATTTGTGTGAACTAGGACTTTCTATCTTGACCTAATTAAAAATACAGGAAAGAAACCAGCCCAGCAGGGCACTGACTATACGCATAATATTGTCCCAGCATGTTTCAGAAAGGAATAGAGTAATGAACAGGCAAGGCCATTTGTCTCATTAAGAAAATCTTATCTAATTACTATTTTTATATTTATTTTGGAAATTTTTGTTATATTTAAATATTAATACAATTATTTGGTATTGACTATGTTTTTAATTGATCAGTGTACTAAGCAAAATTATTCCACGAAATTTGGTTTCAATTTTGGACACAGGCACACACACAGTAATGAAATGGGAAATGTGTTTCTTACATTGATTACCAACAGAAAGTTTGAAAAACACTACTTTAAAATCTGAGCTGATTGAAATAAAATATTTTGCTTATTGAAATAAAAGTGTTTCATTCAATAAAATAAATCCCAGTTATAAATATACCTTTTGTATTGTCGAGCTTAACAACGACTTTTCGTTCTGCAACATTCCAAATGATCACTAAGTTATCGGTACTGCCACTTGCAAACAGATCAGGGTTATGTGGACACCAAGAGATAGCTGTGATAGTTTTTTTATGTTCAGACATAATTGCATGAAGTTTGAATTCATTATAATGGTGATCCAACTAAAAAAAATATATATAAAACATTTCAGTGCTCCTTTTTAGATGATACACTTTCCATTAATAACCACATTACCTTTAAAAAGCTACATACATGAAAATTAGTACACCTAATAACAGTAACACATTTCAAGCCTTGGTCTACTTTCAAGTGTATTCCATCAGCTGAAAGAAACCATTTAAAAACAAAAATGAGAGAATTGAAATGAAACATATTAATTTTAAAAACAAGTAAAAATAAATGTACATTTAAATATGGATAATAATTCAGAGATTTATTATATTTTCTAAGCTATATCTATTTATGAGGGGAAAAACTCCTTGCTTTTGGAAATCTTTTTTGCAATTTTTCACTTATATTTGAATCAAAAGAAATTTAGGGTAAATAAACTGCTCATTATTACATTACTAAGATGTCCAAAGTTTGCAGAGCAATGGTATCATTGGACCCGTCTGATGTTATTGCTTTTTGGATGGGGCATTATGTTGTGTTCCTATACGTGAGTGAACAAAAGGAATGGGCTAATTTTCCTATTTCCTTTGTAAATGTGCCATTGGTTAGTGGCTTAACTAATTTTTCTATCATTCTTAACATGTTTGGGATTATACTGTATATTTCATTTTGTTATACCTGGTTTTTCCCTTCAACACATAATGGCAGTATTCATAATAGTCAAGACTTGGAAACAACCTAAATGCCCACCAATGGATGAATGGATACAGAAGATGTGGTATATAAACACAATGGAGTATTATTCAGCCATAAAAATGATGAAATCTTGCCATTTGTCACAACATGGATGGACCTTGAGGGTATTATGCTAAGCAGAAATGTCAGACAAAAAAAGCCAAATACTATATAATGTGGAAGATAAAAAAACAACAACAACCAAACACATAGACACAGAGAATAGATAGGTGGTTACCAGAGTGGTGGGGGTAGGGAGAGGGCAAAAGGGGTAAAAGAGGCATATTTGAATGATGATGGATGGAAACTAGACTTTTGGTGGGGAACACAGTGTAGTCTACACAAAAGTCAAAATATAATGATGTACACTTGAAATTTATGTAATGTTTTAAACCAATGTTACCTCAATAAAAAGACAGAGAAAAAAACACACACAAGGAACCTTTGACATATAACATTACACTAGTTTCAGGTGTACAACATAAGGATTCGATATTTGTATATGTTGCAAAATGATCACCACAATAAGTCTGGTTAACATCTATCACCACACACAGTTACAAATATGTTTTTCTTGTGATGAGAACTTTTCAGATCTACTCTCTTGGCAACTTTCAAATACACAATACAGTATTATTAACGATAGTCATCATGCTGCACATTACACCCTTGTGACTTATTTATTTTATAACTGGAAGTTTTTACCTTTTGATCCCCTTCACCCATTTCACTTCCTCTCCCCCCACCTCTTGCAACAACCAATTTATTCCCTGTATCTATGAGCTCAGTTTTTGTTTTGTTTCGTTTTAGATTCCACATATAAGTGAGATCATATAGCATTTGTCTTTCTCTGTCTGACTTATTTCACTTAGCATAATGCCCTCGAAGTCCCTCCACATTATCGTACATAGTAAGATTTCCTTCATTTTTATGGCTGAATGATATTCCATTGTATGTCTATATAGCACATCTTCTTTATCCATTTATCCATCGATGGACGCTTAGGTTGCTTCCATGTCTTGGCTATCATAAATAACGCTGCAATGAACATGGGGGTGCATGTATCTTTTCGAGTTAGTGTTTTCGTTTCCTTCAGATATATTTCCAGAAGTGGAATTGCTAGATCATATGGTAGTTCTATTTTTAACTTTTTGAGGAACCTCCATACTGTTTTCCAGAGTGGCTGCACCAATTTACATTCCCACCAACAGTGCACAAGGGTGACTTTTCTCCACATCCTCACCAACACTTGTTATCTCTTGTCTTTTTTATAATAGTCATTCTAACAGGTGTGAGGTGATATCTCATTGTGATTTTGATTTGCATTTCCCTGATTACTACGATGTCAAGCACCTTTTCATGTACCTGTTGGCCATCTGGATGCCTTCTTTGGAAAAATGTTTATTCAGATCTTCTGCCCATTTTTTAATCAGATTGTTTGTTTTTTGTTATGGAACGGTATGAGTTCTTTATTTTGGACATTAACCCCTTATCAGATATATGATTTGCAAATATTTTCTCCCATTCAGTAGGCTGCCTTTTCACTATGTTGATGGTTACTTTGCCATGCAAAAGCTTTTTAGTTTGATGTAGCCCTACTTGTTTTTGTTTTTGTTGCCTTTGTTTTTGGTGTCAATGACTACCTTACTACCTGTTTTTATATCCTTTGTAGAACACACTTATTCCTGAAACATTTACTTATTTGTTTACTTATTTATTTTATGACATTTCCCTGCTCCCTATCCCTACTGAGATTATGAATTCCATGAGAAGATTTTGCCTGGTTTGTTCCTCGTTGCATTCCTAGTGCCTAGTAATGCTGGGCCAAGAGAAGAGATTCAGTTAATATTATTGAAAAAACAAGCCATCATGCCACTGTTCAGAATTCAAGCAACTTTTAACTTTTGCTATCACAAATAATGCCATAGTGAAGATCTCTGTACATAAAATTTTGACTAACGATCTAATTATTTCCTAAGGCTTTCTCTTCTATAATTTCTGGATCTCTTACTACTTGAACTTCAGCTATTCCTGAACAACTCTGGATGAAAATATTATTAAAGATAACCCAGTACCAATGGAGTTTTAATCTGCTTAGTATTGCAGCTATAATAATTTTAAGTTGGTCTGTTTAAATATATAAATGCATTTTCTGTACATTCAGGAATGAATAGGTTTGTAAGTTTTAAATTATTCAGTGATTTAAGTTACCTATGGTAGATATTGTGAATGTGTCTAATGCATCTAATAGAAAAAACTGCTATATAAGTCAGAAATTCAGTGGAGGAGTCTATAAATACAATAAATGTATGAAGAAGTTATGTTGCACATCAATGATCTTCATTGACTTTACAAATTATCCATATAGTATCTTAAGCACAATATAAAATACTAAACTATTTGTAGGGATTAATTTATTAATACATTCTTATTATATTTACAATTCAGTATTATGAAACTGTACTGTTAACGTTGAGTTAGATCATGAATTACTCTATTTTTAGAGTAGTTAAGACAATATATTAGTACATTACAATTCAATGGTTAAAGAAAAGTTCTTAAGGCATTTACAAGTATCATTTAACAGTTCACAAAAATCTGATAATACATGTCATTATACAGAGTGTGACAGACTATCAGACTTTCACTGTACATTGACATTAGTTGTTATTTAATAAACATTCCCTCTGAAAATAATTATATTATACATTAAATAGCATAATTTTCAAAGCACTTTAATTTAGATGATAATGTTTAAAGGAATATTTATTAATAAAAGTTTAATTAATGTTAATGTCACCATTTAATAACGTAATTTTCTATCTGCATACCTTGAAACAAGGTTTTACAGAGGACTCTCTAACGAACTGTCATATGAGTTTATTTGTATTAACCTCTAAATCGGTAATTTTCAGTCTTTAATGACATGCAAACTTTATATATAGGTTTTTTATATTAATAATTTTAGCTTAATCCTTAAAATATTCAAGTCATAAAATGTTATCATAAAACTTAAGACATATGCAAACGTGAAAAAAATTAAGGTCTGCCTTCATCCACTTTCTGACCTTCCTTACTCCTTAGAGGAATGGTTTGCCTTGCCTGATATGTTCTTCTTTAGGAGGAGATAAAAGACAAGAAGACAGGAACTTAGTCAGGGAGAAGTTTTCTAGGAGGAATTTGGGAGTGAGAAGCTTGGGAGGACATGCAGAGTGTAAAGGAGGTAGACAGGAAAAAAAAGGAGACCCTTAGAAGGGTTGCTGCTGTCTTCTGTATGGGGGGGATGGGAAGTAAAAAAAATGTGAGTTATATTGAAATTGCATTTTGATTGCTGGATATTTCCACAATCTTGAGGAATGGACTACCTAAAATCTTACTCTATATGGTGGAATATTAATTGGTTTATAGATTAATGCTATTATTTCTTAAATTTTCAATAAACTACAACACTATTAGTGATGAATGGGAATTTTTATTCCAGAATAACACAATAATTTTTTTCACTCTTAACTGAAATGAGTTCGTGTTTCAAGATTAAAAAAAAAATCATTCAAAAAACATTTAATGAGCCTCTACTAAGTGGCAGAGAGTATGCAATAAGTTGAGAATTCAAAGATGAGGAAGATTCATTCTGGTAAATGGAAGCATGTAAAGGCAGTCCATTTGCTGGGGTTCTTCACTAATAAGAGAGGAAAAAGCAGAACATGGAAAAGAGCTTACACACTTGAGCTGAGATTTGAAAGATGAGAAAATGTGCTCTGGACAGGCAGTGTAGGCAAACTGAAAAATGAGTGTAAGCAAAGGCAAGATATAAGAGTCTGAGAGGTTTTGGAAAACGCACTTATCTCAGGAGCTCTGGAGCACAAGGTGAGAGGGAAACAGACAGGGAGACTGCAAAAGAATGTCACACTAGGAAGTCTGGATGTTAATACTGAGGAATGAGGAGCAATGGAAGATTTAAAATTTTAGATTTGCACTACAGACGATTGATTTCACTGAAGGATAAATTAGAGGGAGTCAAAATAGAGGCAAAGAGAACAGTGGCGTAGCGGTTAGGTTTGCGGCTCCGCTTCAGCAGCCCAGGGCTCACAGGTTCCAATCCCAGGTGCGGACCCATGCACCGCTTGGCAAGCCATGCTGTGGCAGTGTCCCACATATAAAGTAGAGGAAGATGGGCATGGATGTTAGCCCAGGGCCAATCTTCCTCAGCAAAAAGAGGAAGATTGGCAACGGATCTCAGCTCAGGGCTAATTTTCCTCACCAAAAAAAAAAAAAAAGAGAGAGAGACAGACTTATAATAGTTCAGGTGAGAAGGATATAAAGAAGATAGTAAAAGGGGCTGGCCTGATGGCGCAAGCAGGTAAGTGTGCGCGCTCTGCTGCGGCAGCCCAGGGTTCACCGATTCGGATCCCGGGCGCGCACCGACGCACTGCTTGGCAAGCCATGCTGTGGCGGCGTCCCATATAAAGTGGAGGAAGACAGGCATGGATATTACCCCAGGGCCAGTCTTCCTCAGCAAAAAGAGGAAGATTGGCAGATGTTAGCTCAGGGCCAATCTTCCTCACAAAAAAATAAAATAAAATATAAAATAAATAAAATAAAAAAAAAAAGAAGATAGTAAAAGATACAAAATACTAGACTCATTCCTGGTGACCTGGGGTATAAGATGTGAGTAGAAGAGGGAGTCAGTGATAACTCTGACGTTGTGGTTTAGATACACGGTTAGCTGGTGACACGGAAATACTGACTCCGAGTTTAAGGAGAAAGAATGGACTTGAATTCAAGATGATTATGGCACCTCTATATGGATAAATTCAGAAGGCCATTGGCTCTATAGATTGCGAACTGATAAGAGACGTCTGGATGGAGCAAGGACATGGAAAAAAAGGAGTTATAAAGGTTTTTATCCAAAGAATATCTCAAAATATATTATATCTGAACTATTTTTAATATAATGATCTCTAATTCACTACCCACATTTTTCAACTAAGACAATTTTCTCATGTCAAATGTTGTTACTGAGCAAAGTTTGAAACAAAGGAATAAATGAATTCCATTTATTTATATGGTAATATAGTCAAAAAGAATTAAAAACTACTTACCCATCATTTATAAATGAGAACTTTTAATTCTCGAAGAAATTCTTTTTGATGAAAAGCACATAAAGGATTGTGAAATCAACTCAGATTTTGCTAATAATTTAATCTATGGTATAAGCATTTTCTAAAAGCTTGACTTGTAAAACCAATAGAATACAAATAGCAACAAAATATAAAATATATCAATACAATTATAGCATTAAGCTTTCCGCGTGACAGAGATTTAAAAATAAGTATTAATTAAATATTAATTTTACCTAATAAAATTAAAAATAACAAAGAATGGGTATTATTTTACCTGATAAACGTAGATGGCCAGGGTAGCACAATACGCAAACCTGTCTCCGTGGGCAGCACACACATCTTTGTTCCATGGCTGGCACCCGGCAGCCAGCAGTCCCACTTGCCTTACCTGGGACATGTTTGCCTCGAGAAACAAATGTGGAGAAATATCAGTCATTTTCATTATTCACTACACTTCCTCTTCATTGTTTTACATCTGTCTTCCTCAATCCTTATCTGTATGCCCTGAAAAACTTTTCTACTAGGACTATTAACCTCAATTTATACTTTCAGAGAACAGGAGCTTAAATCCCCAACTGTCTATAGACACCAAGGCAGTTATTTAAATTAGGCAAGAGATTATAAAACGATAAATGACAACTGACACTCGGCTGAGGGTTGGGAATCCCATAAGGAGTGATGGGGATGAGAGTGCAACAGAAGGCGCATACCCCATCTAAAGGGCTCTCGTACCGCTGGAGAAGGCCACCCCTGGCTGCCAGATTTACAGAACTTCCCAGAGAAACAGAACTACCCAGATTTTTATATAAAATGTACCAATTTTTAAATACTGGCAATTCATTCAGGGCAGCAAATGCATATTTCTATTTCCTATTTCCGCTTCTAGAAAAGATCTCTTCTTTTTTCCTCTTCTCTTTCTTCTCCAATTCTTTCTCTCTTCATCCCATTAAATCCCCTTATCTGAGTGGAACTAGTAATGTATTAACAAAAAAAGTAAAAATTATTTGAAGTGAAAATTGGCACGATGAAGAAACTGTGCCAACAGTCTTTGAGTGCTTACAAGTATTAAAAAACTGCTACAAAAATCCCCTTTCTTCCTCCTCTAATGACACCTGTATTTTCTCAGGCACTAGCATTCCAGATAAATAAAAAAGATATACACATTCTTTTTTTCAATTAGTAATGTTACAACCTTGTTACTTTTCACTGAAAATATGTATTATTTCAACCTCAATGTGAATTAAATAGGATTTTGTAGTTTATCCTTGGACTCTATGATTACTATTAATATCCATGTGTAAGTAAAAAAGCTTTCTGGTTTATGTTTAAACAAATTTTGAGTTTACATTTGGAAAAGAAACATAAGAGAAAGATATTTAAACATATTGGTAAAATGAAGTCATTTTTAAAATTTTCACTTCCTGCTAATTTTTTTTCACCTTTTTAAAAAATTAATAAGCTTTACTTTTTAGAGCAGTTTTAGGTTCCCAGCAAAACTGAGTGGAAATTACAGAGAGTTGCCATTCATCCCTGTCCCCTAATATGCACAACCTCCCCCACTATCAACACCCCCCATCAGAGTGGTACATTTGTTACAACAATGAACCTACACTGACACATCATAATCACCCAACGTCCACAGTTTACACTAGGGTTCACTCATGGGCTTCTACATTATACGGGTTTTGACAAATGTATAAGGACACGTAATCACCACTGTAGTATTGTACAAGATAGATTGCTGCCCTCTGTGTTCTGCCTATTTTTTTCTCCCTCCCTCCTAACCCCTGTCTCTATAGTTTTTCTTTTTCCAGAATGTCATATAGTTGGAATAATACAGTATATAATCTTTTCAAATTAGCTTCTTTCACTTAGTAATATGCATTTAAGTTTCCTCCATATCTTTTCATGACTCGATAGCTCATTTATTTATAGCACTGAATAATATTTCATTGTCTGGATGTACCCCTGTTTATGCATCCATTCACCTATTGAAGGACATCTTGGTTGCTTCCAAGTTTTGGCAATTATGACTAAATCTGCTATAAACACCTATGTGCAGGTTTTTGCGTAAATAACAAGGAGTGCACCATTTTGCATGCCCACCAGCACTGAATGAGAGTTCCTGGTGCTCCACATCTTCACCAGCCTTTGGTGTCGTCAGTGTGTTGGATAGGTCATTCTAACAGGTTTGTAGTAGTATCTCATTGTTGTTTTAATTTGCAATTCCCTAATAAGTTAGCATGTTGGACATCTTTCCATACACTTACATGCCATCTATCTCCTTCAGTGAGGTATCTGTTCAAGTCTTTTGCCCATTTTTTAAATCAGGTTGTTTGTTTTCTTATTGTTGAATTTTAATAGTTCTTTGTATATTTTGGATAACAGTTCTTTTTTAAAGGGTCTGTGGCAAATATTTTCTCCAAGTCTGTGGCTTGTCTTCTCATTCTCTTAACATTGTCTTTCACAGAAGTTTTAATTTAATTAAGTTCAGTTTATCAATTGTTTCTTTCATAGATCTTTGGTGCTGAATCAAAAAATTCACGGCCATGCCCAAGGTCACCTAGTTTCTCTTATGTTATCTTCTAGGAGTTTTATACTTTTGTGTTTTACATTTAGGTCTATGATCCATTTTGAGTCAATTTTTGTGAAGGGTATAACGTCTGTGTCTAGATTCATTTTTTTCCATGTGGATGTCCAGTTTTTCCAGAACAATTTGTTGAAAAGAGTATCTTTTCTCCGTTGCATTACCTTTGCTCCTTTGCTGAAGATCAGCTGACTATACTTATGTGGGTGTACTTCTGGGCTCTCTATTCTGTTCCATTGATCTATTTGTCTAATCTTTCATCAGGACTACACTCTATTGATTACTACAGCTTTACACTAAGACTTGAAGTCGGGTAGTGTCAGTCCACTGACTTGGTTCTTCTCCTTCAACATTGTTGGCTAATTTGGGTCTTTTGCCTATTGATATAAATTTTAGAACCAGTTTGTCAAGATACATAAAATAACTTGCTGGGATTTCGATTGGGATTGTGTTGAATCTATAATTCAAGTTGGGAATAACTGACACCTTGATGCTATTGAGTCTTTCTATCCCTGACCATGGAATCTCTCTTCATTTATTTAGTTCTTTTTTGATATCTTTCACCAGACTTTTATAGTTTTCCTCATATAGATTTTGTACATATTTTGTTAGATTTATATCTCAGTATTTCATTTTGGGGGTGCTAATGTAAATGATAATGTGTTTTTAATTTCAAATTCCACTTGATCATTGCTAGTATACAGGAAAGTGATTGGCTTTTGTGTATTAACCTTGTATCCTAAAATCTTGCTATAATTGCTTATTAGTACCAGGAATTGTTTTGTTGATTCTTTCAGATTTTCTACATAGACACTAATGTCATCTGTAAACAAAGACAGTTTGATTTCTTCCACGCCAATCTGTATACCTTTTATTTCCTTCTCGTGTCTAGTTACATTAGTTAGAACTTCCAGTACAATGCTGAAAAGCAGTGGTGAGAGCAGACATTCTTGCCTTGTTCCTGATCTTAGCAGGAAAGCATCGAGTTTCTCACCATTAAGTATGATGTTAGCTGCAGGTTTTTTTGTAGATGTTCTTTATCAAGTTGAGGAAGTTTCTCTCTATTCCTAGGTTTCTGAGAGTTTTCATCATGAAGGAGTGTTGGATTTTGTCAAATGCTTTTTCAGCATCTATTGATATGATCACGTCATTTTTTCATCTTTAGCCTGTTGATGTGATGGATTACATGAATTGATTTTTGAATGTTGAACCAGCCTTGCACACCTCACATAAATCCCACTTATTTTTGGTGTATGATTCTTTTTATACTTTGTTGGATTTGATTTGCTAATATTTTGATGAGGAATTCGGTATCTACGTTCATGAAAGATATTGGTCTGTAGTTTTCTTTTCTTGTAATGTCTTTATCTGGTTTTGATATAAGGGTATTGCTGGCCTCACAGAATGAGTTATAAAGTATTCCCTCTGCTTCTATCTTCTGGAAGAAATTGTAGAGAACTGGTATAATTTCTTCCTTAAATGTATGGCAGAATTCACCAGTGAACCCATCTGGGCCTGGTGGGGTTTTAGAAGGTAAATTCGTTCTGGTACCAATTCCAATGTGTGTGTTGGGGGGTTCCCTCACACTACCAACAACAAGCAATTCTCCGGACACCAGCTGGATGTCCAAAAATTAAATTCAATTCTGACACCATCTACCCAGAGATAGCATCAATTCCACAGGTTGAGGGTTCAGTCCTACAAGACTGCCCCTCCACTTCAGATGCCAATCGAAAGTCAAGGCTGTTACCCATGCTTCTGACTGACCAGCTACAAATTGGAGGTTCCAACAATCCCCTCCAACTCAAAGATGCCAATTCCAAGTGCAGGCTGTTACCTGTACTTTTGAATAACTGGCTATAAATCAAAGGTTCCCACAGCCGTCTCCTTGGGTTAGATTAATTTGCTAGAATGGCTCACAGAACTCAGAGAAACATTTTACTTATGACATTCCTAGTTGATTACAAAAGTATACAATTCATGAACAGCCAGATGAAATAGAAGCATAGGGCAAGGTATGTAGGAAGGGGCATGGAGCTTCCATGCCCTCTCCAGACATGCCATTCTACCCCAATCTCCACATGTTCACCAACCTGGAAGCTCTCCAAACCCTGTCCTTTTGGGTTTTTGTGGAGGCTTCATTACATAGGCATGATTGATTAAATCATTGGCCACTGGTGATCATTCAACCTCCAGTCCCTCTCCCCTTCCCAGAGGTAAGGGAGTGAGACTGAAAGTTCCAACTCTCTAAAGGTTGACTCCATTGACACCCAGCCCCCATCCTTGGGTGCTTTCCAAAAGTCATCTTATTAACATAAAAAAAAAGGCACCTTTATCACTCTCAACACTTAGGAAATTCCAAAGGTTCTGAGAGCTCTGAGCCAGGAACTGTGGACCAAGACCAGATATACACGAGAAATATATTTTGGTCACCTGAATGACCAAATATACATTTCTTATAAGTCACAATATCACAGAAGGTTATGAATTATTGATTCAATTTCTTTAATAGATACAGGCCTATTCAGATTGTCTATTTCTTATTGTGTAAGTTTTGGCAAATTGTGTCTTCAAAGAATTAGTCCATTTCATCTAGGTTGTCACATTTATGGGCATAGAGTTGTTCATAGGATTCCTTTATCCTTTGACTGTCCATGGGATCTGTAGTGACGTCCCCTCTTTCATTACTGATATTAGTAATATGTTCCTTCTCTCTTTTCTTCTTAATTAGCCTTGCTAGAAGCTTATTGATTCTATTGATCTTGTCAAAGAAGTAGCTTTTAGTTTTGATGATTTTCTCTATTGATTTTCT